TAGTTTTTAATTTAGTTATTATTGATATAGTTTATATAATATTTCTTCTTGTGGATAAAAATAATGTGTACTACAAAAGCACTATAATAAAAAGTAATTGTAATTTGTTTCTGTATTGTTCCTTCACCTCTGCATTCGTGAAACTGCTTTTCCCAATACTGAATACAAATCAATGGTGTACTAGTCAAAATGACATCAAAATGACATCAAAATGATGTCAAATTATAGTCATTTTTTTCTCCGGTTTGACGTCATTGTGAGTTCCACCATTTTGACGTCTTTTTGACATCATTTTGACATTATTATGACTTTTTGTTCTCCTTGGGAAACTCAATCGCATTATTTGAAAACCATTTATTTTTGGATTTTGAATTACATATTTGAAAGTGCGCTTTACTTACATTTGAAGCTCAGTTAGAACAGTATTTATAACAGTATAACAGTTATAACAGTTATAACAATATAGTATCCAGCGAAAAATGATTCGTTGATTGACGTCAAAATGACATCAAATAGACGTTGAAATCGTCACACCGACATCAATTTGATATCATTTTGACGTCAATCAACGAATCATTTTTCACTAGGTATATAGATGTCACAAACATGAAGTCTTAAATAGCTCAGTGGAAAGAGCGGTTGTCTGGCAAGCGGATAACCCGAGTTAGACCCCAGCCCGAGTCTGATGTTTTTCATTTCATATGGCATTAAAAATGGACATCTACAGATACTACACACAAGAGCAGCAGCACCCCCGGCCAAAGTTTCTGATCTTTCTTTCGTGTGGATACAATAAAATTTATTAAATCCGAAGAAATCTTTTTGAGTTGAAGTAATTCCATATGAATACTCTAAGAAGTTCTGAGAAACTCCAATCATGGTGCATGTAATTTCCTAAATCATTTTTATAGTATTCTTTTACGAATTCCTAAGGAAGTACAATTCAGGAAAGGAGAAAACTTTAGGAACACTTAGAGAATTCATCGTGCTATCTGGATTATAATATAATATAAATATTATGTATTCTTATGTTATATAATAAATACAAATTTGATATCAAATTATATAAATATCTTGTTTTGTGTTTTTATATTTTTCTTGCAAATTAGATTTTTTTTCTTGTTACTTTAAAAATTATTCATTTTTATATTATAGCAAAATTGTATAACTTTTTTTTTAATGTAATAATTTATTTGAAGAAAAAATGAAAAAGTCTGTTATTGACGATTAAAGAAATATATTTTTCATGTATTTTAATGATAACTGCAATTTATGATCACGGACACACATACAAAATATCTTTCACATGGTAAAATAGAAATCACAAGTATGTGATAGTTTACGTAATAGCCGTTGTTTGATCCTGGCGGCGCTGCAGATGTTGACAGACGTTTTGCTGCAGAAACAAGTTAGCGGCTAGTAGTCCATAGTTATATAGTCAAAGGGCGCTACACACGAATTGACATAACAGTAATGTAATACGTACCGTAAGAATTGACTAATCACTTTGAGTATCGTCGAACCGTAAGGTCGCCACTTTTGTAAATACTCGATTGTAATTGGTCCATTTTTACTGTACGTCTTATAGCTCCTGCACACAGGACGCGGTAATACTTGCCGTGCGGCGGAAGTCCGCACGACAGCCAATCAATGTTATTTTTCCGTAAGAATTAGAAGGTTATTACGGAAAGCAGCATATTGATTGGCTGTCGCGCGAACTTCCACCGCGCGGCAAACATTACCACGTCCTGTGTGCAGGAGCCATTACGTTACTATTATGTCAATTCATGTGCGCCCCTTAAACTCCCAGTCCAAGTTGTGATGAAAAGACGACCGAGTACAGGCGAGGAATTTTTATTGCGCAGCTATTTTATGATATTTTATGATTAAACTTGCGCAGTAAAACTTACGTATACTATGTTAAGCAACTATTTTAAGAATAAGGGGTTCGATTCTCTAACTAGTTGCGTATACGTAAGTTTTACTGCGCAGGTTTAATCATACCATAAAATAGCTACGCAATAAAACTACCGTATACGCAACTAGTTAGAGAATTGAGCCCCAGACCTGTAACCAAAGAGAGAGAGAGAGAGAGAGAGAGAGAGATGAAATGACGCATAGCGCTAAATACAGCTGATAACGTGCTGATAACTGGGTGCGTTAAGCGAACTCAACAGTTGCACAACAGTTGAGCAATTCGTCAATATAATTGGTCTAGATTTAGGGATCTAACAGTAAGAACTAATAATCGCTAATTGTTCATTGAGTGCTTTTTCCGCTGAACGCACCTACTCATAACTGAAGCTTACATATCTATCATTTGTCCTTCCTAGTACTCAAAAGAATCAGTGATCGTGCTTCGTTAAAAATGATTCGACATCATCATGTGCAGGGCTATGAAAACTTTCTTAAATATGTTGAGGACTTGAAGAAAGAGCAGCCAATTTATATTCTTTATACCGGTTCGAAGTTGGACAACGGTAAAAGTTGGTGTCCAGATTGTGTAGAAGGTAAGTCGTGCTAAAGTGTGCACATATGTTTACACTATGGGCGTGTTCCGTTACAGGCTCGCAACGTTCGCGAGCGTGTAACGAAACGCGCCCTATGTAACCTATCTTTCATATTTTGTTTTTATAGCTGCATTTCAATTTTCACTGTCAGTACTGAAAATCTATAGTATATATAACATGAACTATAGATTTGTAACACTAATATATAGAATAGAAACTATGTAAACTATGTAAACTAATATATAGAATAGAAACTATGCATTATAGATTTTTAGTTTAGTGAGTATTGGAACGCAATACGCTTATGTCGTATAATATCGACTATATTTAACATCAAATAGTATGTATGTGTCGCATATATATGTACATGCAGTTGACAATGAGACGTGAACAAAGATTCAACTGACGTACAAAATCTGTTTTCTCACTACAATTTTTCTAATTTTGTAATTTTCCTTTTTTTCACACTTAGTACATTGGGTGTAACATCATTTATTCTGTTTAAATAGAAAAAAATAGTGAACATAATATCCAAACATTTAGATGTATATTTTGTGATGCTATTGTAACAATACATATTTAAAATGTTTCAAGAAATAATTTATTGTCCCACAATTGTAATCAAAATATTTACTTATTATTATTATTATTATTATAATTTCAGATTAGTTTCATTCTCTTTCCATTAAAATTCTATTTAAAATAAGCAGCAATTTTTATGATATTAAGTGATGGCTTTTATATATGAAATTTCTGTATGAGAACATATCTTTATATACTTATACCAGTTACCAAGCAGATGATATGCCAAAATATTTAAATGAATAGAGCTATATTTTTTGTAGAACAGATCAACACCCCAACAAGCAGATTTTTAAAAGATGTCTAAAATGTCTTATTTCTTCAGACATCTTTTAAGTGTTTTTAAAATATTTTTTAAAAGCTTCTGCTATCTTGGACATAAAAACTTATATCTTTGACATTGAAAATTTGTTTAAATAGATACAGCAATGAATTTGGTTAACACAATGCAACTGTGCATAGTTAGATAGAAATACTTTGAAAAAATATCTGATAATATATGATATTTTGGTTTACAATATAAAAAGGTGGAAAATTTGTAAAATATATTTGAAGTAGAACTTGGAATTATAATCAAATCTAAATTTAATTTATGCTATTGTATAATTTAAAAAGAAGATATTGACCAATATTAATATAATGAGTCTTTAGGTACTTTGTTTTGTTTTAGCCGAACCATATATTGAAAAAGGTTTTGAAAGAGCATCTAAAGAAACACAATTAGTGATAGTCGAAGTTGGAGACAGGCCATTGTAAGTAACGAAATATATCTTTATACTCATATTAATAATATCTCTATTCATTATCACAAGTATCGATAGCAGTTCTAAACTGTTATCTGCAGTATATAAAACTTTCTTTAGATCAATAAGACTAAACACAATCAAATACTTATTGATAATTTTTATTCCATTAATTTATTGCATAATATTGCAGTTGGAAAGATCTGAATTGCCCATTCAGAATAAATCCTGTTACTAAGTTAAAAGTTTTGCCAACTTTGTCTAAGTGGGGCACTCAAAAACGTTTAGAAGGCAATCAGTTGCTGAAACCTGAGCTTATCGACATGTTACTTACAGATGAAGATGATTAAGTATTAACATTTTTTTTGTACTCTATATTTGTGAGTATATATATATATATATATATATATATATATATATATATATATATATATATATATATA